CATTAAGTGAAGGAAATCAAGAAGAAAATCCTCAAAGTGATGACGAGATAGTCCATGCCCTCCAGTATCAACTTAGATTGTCGTCTGATTCTTGCAAAGTTGAAGAAAATTATTAAAGTTAAAGTGCTCCCAGATACAACCCTAAACTGTCGATGACACTCCTTGACACAAGTTTAAACTGTCTACTTGGAAAAAAAAAAATCAAGAACTCCTTGATACGAGTTTAAACTGTCTCCTAAACAAAAAAAATGACACTCCTTGACACGAGTTTAAACTGTCTACCTAAAAAAAAAAAATCAAGAATTCCTTGATACGAGTTTAAATTATCTCAAAAAAAAAAAAAAATGACACTCCTTGACACGAGTTTAAATTGTCTACCTGAAGAAAAAAAAAAATCAAGCACTCCTTGACAAGAGTTTAAACTATCTACCTGGAAAAAAAAATCAAGAACTCCTTTATATGAGTTTAAACCGTCTCCTAAAAAAAAAAAAAAAAAAAAACTTGACACGAGTTTAAACTGTCTCAAAAAATAAAAAAAAATGACACTCATTGACACAAGTTTAAACTGTCCACCATAAATAAAAAATAAAAAAAGATAAAAAAAAACTCCTCAAAGTTGCAAAATGACAAAGTCACTCATCATGTGATATCAAAAAGTGTTCGTCGTACTTGTCAACTTGGCATGCCACCAAAGTATAGCTGCAAGAAAGAAATTTGGCCCGCCGCCAAAGTGTAGCTGAAAAGAAGAATTTTGGTATGTCATCATAGTTGTAGCTACAAAAGAAATTTTGATCTGGCAAAGTGTAGTTGCGAAGAAATAAATTGGTTCATCGCCAGACTGTAGCTGCTTAGAAAAATTCTGCTCATCGCCAAAGTATTGCTGAAAGAGAAATTTTGTTTACTGCCAAGGCGTCGCTGAAGAATCTAGTTCATCACTAAGGTGTTGTTGCAACAAAATTTTGACTCACCACTGAAGTGTCGTTGAAAGAAAAAAAAATCTACTTGCCGTCAAGGTATTGCTGAAAGAAAATTTTGGCTTTCCGTTGAGGTATTGCTAAAAAATATTTGCTCACTGCTAATGTATTGTTGAAAAAGAAATTTGGCTTTCCGTTGAGGTGTCGGTGAAAAAACAATAATTCTGCTCGCCGCCGAGGTATTACTAAAAGAGAAATTTGGCTTTCCGATGAGGTGTCATTGAAGAAAAATTCTGCTTGCCGTCGAGGTATTGTTGAAAAAGATCTTTGGTTTTCTGCTGAAGTATCGAAGAAAAAATTTCGCTTGCCGATAGAACCATGAAGAATTTTAGTGGCTAGGCACCAACATTCGAGGAATGCTTTGAATACATCTCCATAGTGATCATATGAAGATAGCTTGCTGATAGAACCATGAAGAATATTGGTGGTTGGGCACCAACATTCAAGGAATGTTTTATATACATCTTCATGGCGATCATATGAAAATAGGGAGGCGAATAAAGCACCATATAGTTGTTGTTTTGATAAAAAGTCGTGGAAACGGGTCAAGACATCTTCTAACCACTCCCAATATAGTTGGGTGTGTGGCAATTCAGCAGAAACTATATAGGGACTACTCCATGATACTTTTTTACCCAAGAGTGAAAACTGGTTTTCCTCAATTATTCTCTCATGAAGTGGAGAATTTAATATCAAGGCTTCCGAGACATTGGATTCTTCATTAATCTGATCAAGACCAAAGTTGGTGATGTCGCCTATAGCCTTGCGTGTCCAATGAGAAGAACAATGTTCATTGTCGGGATCAGACATTTGAATGCGTGTCCAAAGAGAAGAACAATGTTCGTTGCCAAGATCAGGCATATGAATGGCATTGCGACCGAGAAGTGAGTTGGAGTCGGCGTTGACTGCATGGAACAACTTCTATGTCGTTTTTGGATTCGTAACAGGAGAACTAATTCTTAGGAAGTCCTGCACTGAAAATAAAAAAAAAAGTTGAGAGAGAAAAACAATAAAGTTCACGTCGGGATAGTGCGTAAATCAGTGGTAGCATTGAAGAACTCCATCAACGAAGACCGGCAAAACCCAGAAGTTTAGACACCATGAACCTCGGCGAGCTTCAGTTTAGAATAGGGATTAACCACCATTAACAGACCCAAAAGATCCAGCGGGCTTCGTTTAGGCAACTCAGTTTCGGTGGAAAAAAATTTGGTGAGAAGCTCCAGCGAGTTTTAGAGATAAAAACAAGTCCGACGAAGCTTCAATCTGTTCGACCCAACTGCAGCTACCAGAAACTTCAACAACTTGAGCTTTATGGGTGTGAGTTGTGGTGCCCTTTTAGGAAAGCGAAAAAAAAGAGAAAAAAAAAAAATCATGAAAAAGAAAAGTGAGAAAAAAACGTGGAAAAAAAAAAACGGAAAACAAAAAGAAAAAAAAAATTTAAAGAAAAAAAAAAAGAAAAAGAAAAAAAAAAAAAGGAAAACAAAACGAAAAAAAAAAAAATTCGAGAGAAAAAAAAAAAAAAAAAAAAAAAAGAAGAAAAAAAAAAAAGGAAAGAGAAATCATACCAATTATTTGTTCAAACAGAGATCGCAATCTAACAAGTCTTCAGAGATTTTAAAATTGATGGCAAAACCTATAACATTGATGGTACATATAGGCAACAAAATATCTCCTGTTTGTACTAGGATTTGTATAATTCGGTTCAAATAAGAAAGTAAAATTTCAACCCAAAATTGGATAGAAAAACAAAAAGAGGAAATCTTACAATCCAAAGTTGAAAAAAAAAAAGAAAAAAAGAAAAAAAAAAAGAAAAGAAAAGAGGCAAGTTGGATATTTCAAGTCTCATTTGCAAAAAGAAACAAGTCTTGTTAAACTTGGGACTCGATGTGGGGACAATTTGCAGACACTAAAATTTTAGTGGGCTTTGGTTTTGACAAATGGACTCATTAAATATGGGTCAATGTTTAATTAAGTTATTTAATTGGCCCAAGCTTGGTCCACTTAAATTATTTAATTAGCCCAGCCCAGATGATTAAATGGAAAGATAATTATTTCTAATAAAATATATTTGGAATAATTATTTTTAAGGATAATTATCATAATACAACCAGCCCGGCCCAGTTATTATTTTATCCTTATCAAGAAATGACACGTGTTATTATTCTATTAATCTAAAAAGCCTATAAATAGAGACCTGAAAGAAGAAGGAAGGGACATAAATTCAGAGTCCAAAAATCCAGAGATTTAGAAATCCAGAAGGTGCAGAAATTAAGGGAATCAGAAATCCAGAGGGCAGAAGGCGAAAAATACCAAGCACATCCAAAATCATGTCGTTCTTCATCAAATTCAACAAATTCTCTCTGAAGACGAAGAACAACAAGCACATCAAATTGTGCCGTTCTTCATCCAAATTCCACGGTGAACAACAACAAGCACAGGCAAAGACGTGCCGTTCTTCATCCAAATTTCACAGTGATTCAAGATCAAGCTCGTACGTTCTTTGGATCTAACCAACCAAAAAGGAGATTGAATCAGAGGATTTTATTCTTTGGAATATTATTACAGAGGATTGTATTTCATCTTTATAAATTAATAAAATATTCTATTTACTCCCAATTTTGTTTTTATTTGCAAACTACAAAATTTATGTGTACAGTCATTTTGTTCCATTTTTTTCCGTTAAGGTCTAGGATCTTGTCAATTATCAATATAAGTATATTACCCTTGTTGACACTCTTTTGGTCACCTTAACCACATAGGTTAATGTGATCTTTGTTTTTGCATCTGGAATCCGTTATCGGGTCAGTTTTCGGGTTACTCGTTGACGCACCGGGTTCTTTGAAATTCCGACGTCAAAGGTTGCTCTTCATTCAATATCATGCATGTTGACACTTAATTAGTGATCCATGCTATTGATTCAAAATTTTGCATGATTTAAAACTAAAAACCTTTTTAGCTCTTCTTTTATACAAGAGTATTTGGTAGTAGTATTTAGCTCTAAATCCCATTTTTTTTTTTTTTTTTTTTTTTTTTTTTCTGTTTTTTACCTTCTCTACTATAATTTAAGGAATAATTATCTATATCTCCGTTATAGCTTATTTTATCCCTTTGACTTTCTCGTAGTTTTAACTTCCGTCCTGTTTGGTAACCGTTTTTATTTATTATTTATCATTTAAGCTTAAACATAATGAGTGTTTATATATCTGTAAATTTTGTTTATCGATAAACACATACATTATTTGATAACGTAATTTTTTTTGTCTTATTTTAAAAATAATAAACAGAAAAACATGTTTGTTAACTTTAAACTATTTTTGAAAAATTAAATACTAGTTTTTAAAAAATAATAAAAGTATATATGAAGTGCCCAATTATTCTCTAACAAAGTTACTCACAACCTTAACAAATAGGGTACTCCTCTAAAAATTGTTGAGGTTAAGTGGAATGTGGCCCTTTTAGTTATCTAAAGTCGTAAAGAATGATATTTGTTTTGCTTCGACCGGCCTGTGTGAACAGTAATTATATAACTAAATTTATACAATTCATAAATATAAACAATACTTATTAACAAACATGTTTTTCTTCAAAAATTTATTTATATAAATAATAAATTATAAACATAAATACTTACCAATAAGCCATTTCCTTACTTATTTAATATGCGGTATCCAATGTGTTTGACTTTGATATCGGGTCTAAACCAGTGACCAATAACTAGCTTAAACGTGGAACTTATTTTACCAAAAGTTCTTTTGGTTAGCAGTCCCCACGTGGGCGTCTCAGCCCAAAACATGCTTTTGCTTCCTGAAGACCACAAAAGTAATAAGATTGCATGCATGCATGAACACTGCGCAGCCTAGTTACATCGATCTCAGAACTATCTCAGAATTTTCTGCTGGGACCATTTTCCAGAGAAAGTTGTAAATGGTGGCTAAGTGTGTGTGTGTATATGTGTATGTATATATATATATATATATATATATATATATAAATGCTCATTGATGCAATTAATCAGTGTCATAAATACTGCAGCTAGCCAAGTTAATTATGTATCATATTCAATTGTTGCCCTGCATTTGCAGGCCTTGTGCAAATTTACTGAAATCTCAAAGCACCTGGTAACTGTTCTTAGTAGAGTTTTAAGTGTGCATAAAATTTTATTTGGTATGTAGATATATATATTGGAACTCATTCAGTTCCACTTGGTTGTTTTACAGTTTCATGAAATACAACAATGGAAGGATGGTGGGTATGTGCTTGCAGTGCATCTCACTATTGCTTGTAAACTTAATGAAATATATATATATATATATATATATATATATATATAGTAATAAATGTGTTAATTATTTATTTATAGCATCCACTATGTGGTTCTAGTTATGACTAACATGCAAAGCAATAACAGGTCATTTTACAAATGTCCCTCGTAATGCCAATATGGAGAGCCTGCGAAATGGATACTTGTTTCCTGAGGTGAGTGTCGATTTTTGTTTTTCCAAAGGTATGATGCGGAATCCGATAGTCTAATTCTGACTCTTTTTATGTGAGTCGGGACTGACGTCCCACTCACATAAAACAGACAGATTGTTCCAATTGTCCAAATACATAACATTTTTTTCTTTTTCAATTACAGCCTTTTGTTCCACCCTTGGTTTATTTATTGTTTGTTCTTGTAATTATAATTTAGTTATTGCTGAAATAATATATGTTTATATATTCAAGTCAAAATTTGGTAGTAAATATGCAACATTTACCACAAAATTATTTTCTTATGAAATACTCTCTTGTTCCATAGTATATATACCCCACTATATACTATGAAGTTGATTTCATTCGTAGATATATAAAAATCATATTATATATATATATATATATATATATATATATATATATATGTATTCGTGTTTTTCTTATGAAATTATTATTGTATTGCTTATTTATATTTATTACATCGTATGACTTTAAAACAGATAGCTGCACGTGAGCTTGAACACGCTCAAAAATACCCACAAGAAAAGTTGATAAGGCTTGGAGTTGGTGATACCACTGAGCCTATACCGGACATCATAACATCTGCCATGGCTGAGGTAGTGTTTCCGTTGAAGATACAATGAGCTTTTTTATTTTATTTTATTTTACTTTGTTTATTTAGATTTTTTGGTGGTTAGGAAGTGAATTTGTGATGTTTTCGATTTTCATATCTTTAATTACTTAGTATTATTATTTTTTTTAGAATCCAATTTGTAGAAATGAAGTGATGGGAATAGGTTTTCTGGTCTAAGTTTATGCCTTTAAAATTATGAATTGTAAATAATTTTTGACGAAATGCTTTTAATTAATTATATATACAAAATATGATAAAGTGTGACTCTTACTTTCTTATATCTTTTGTAAATAACTAATCAGAAGTATTCCTGAATGAATTTTACCGAACCCTGACCCTTTTCCAAAACTGTGTTTTGGTACCAACAAAAAATAAATAAATTTAAGTTGTGACGTTGTTTTAGTGATGTGTAGCTGACGTGAGCGGGAGGCAACCAGCTCTTTCAATCACCTTGGAGATTTCAGCCAAAAGTGCATTTGCCACGTGGCAAAATCAATGTCTCAATACTTTTGGTCTTAGAAGTAAACCAGGTGACTAGATAAGCAGCTGATAGATGAGCAGTCATTTTATTGTTGCAATGGCATATTCTTCTAATTATTTTCATTTCAATTGGATAATCAATAAAATAAAAGCACCATAATATATGTTTTATAACTAAATTTTGTGAAATTGTTGGATAAATTATGATAACAACTTTTGAGGTTTGTCCATAATTCACAAATCTTCCTCTTGTTAAAAAAAATTGATAATAAAAAATTAATAAATAAGTTGTATTAACCTTCTCCTTTCGTTAAATTGAAATTTTAAAATACTAATTTGTCCTTTTAAATATTTTTTTGTATTCAATTAAAAAATCTAGACTTTATGTGCAAAATAGTAAAAGGCATACGTTGCTAATGGGGTTTTAGTGTAATTTTTCAAACAAGAAAAGAGGTCCGAATAATTATTGAAAGCTTTGGGTGAGATGAGTATAATTTTTTTCCAAAAAAGATTTTTCCTCTTGTTACCTATGTGAAAATAAATAAATAAATAAATTCAGTAATAGCACTTGCTCTAGACCTGAACGTTACAAGTTCCAAACAAAATATAATCTCTTTGCATGTGGAAAGTAAATTTGAGTAGGTCGATCTGATTCTCTTAGACTGCACAATATAAGTAGTCTCGAGCACTTAACTATCCCTTTTTTAAGTAAGCTCACTAAATTCATTATTTTCTTTTATTCTTTTCATTTTTTCGGAGACCTGCTTCCCTTTCTTTGTTTATGAACAACTGTAATGCTATTTTTGCAGCATGTGCATGCTCTATCAACATTTAGAGGTTACAGAGGGTATGGAGCTGAGCAAGGCAACATGGTAAGACTAATTTTTTTATTTTTTATTTTCTTTCCTGTTTGAATGTATACAATTTCTATTGAATATCAATTCTTTGCCTGATTACTTTCTCATTTTACTTTCCTGTTAAAAGTTTTTCCTGTTTAAATGGACTCCTTCACAATTTTAAGGTACAAATTAGTTGCAGAAATTGACCTTTTTGTCAGTGTATACTCAGTTTCAACAGAAAATCAATTCCGGGGAAGATCACGAAAATGTGGATATGAAAACCATGAAAATGAAATAACTAGGGTTTAACCTGAGATTTATAATCCATACCAATCATATTTTATTTTGTATGAATGAATCCTCTGCTTGATTTATATGAGTAAGATATCATCTTCAGAATATCTATTTCTATACCTATACAACTTACTATATATTTTCCATGTTGTTGTGGCAGGAATTACGGAAGGCAATTGTAAAAACATTTTACGGAGATATAGGTGTTAAATGTAATGAGATTTTTGTATCAGATGGTGCACAATCTGACATTTCTCGCCTTCAGGTAATCTTACATTCAACATATTTTCTGAACACGGTGTACTTATCAAATTGGGATAAAATATGAGGATTTGCTCTGTTTGTCACCCAGAGAAGAAAAATGTTCTGGATAACTTGAAAACAAAAAAAAATGTTTTCAGAAAATTATAAAGCTGGTATGTTTTCAGAAAATTATAAAGCTTGTTCTTTGAAAACATACATTTATTACCAAAGGACAAAATGGTCCAGCGGTATCATCCCTCCCTTTCTAAAGGGAGGTTGGGAGTTTGAACCTCGATGGAGGTAGAGTGTGTGCATAATTGCGAGTTTTCACAAAATAGTTTCTAGAAATGTCAACCAACTGAGTAGGTTTTTATACAATTTATTAATTTTCAGTGCTCAGAAAAAAAAGAAAAAAAAGAAAAAGAAAAGATTATTTATTAATTTATTAAGTTTCCATACTTGTAATATTTTTTCAATAAAAAATTAATGACCTGATTGGTACGAGTTTTGTTTTCGGTATTTTTGTTTTTGTCGGGTACCATAGCAATGTTGCTTTTGATAAAAAAAAAATATTTTGTTTTATAAAGTGCTGAAACGTTTCATGAATAGTGGGTAAAAGTCGAAACACTAATTTGGTGTTTTTACATATTTTCACAATGTTGCAACGGATTCTGTAGCAATGACTTCACTGAGATTCGAAACCTTGACTTCCCAAAGGTCTATTGTTATTTTTAAAACCTTTTTACCAAACATATTTTTGATTTTTTGCTTCTAAAAATTTTACAACAAATAGGTATTACCAAATATGCTTTCGGTTACTATTCAAAATACCATACAACAAAATATTTATTTTGTTTCGGGTTAAAATTAAAACGTTACAAACAGGACACAAGTGTATGAGAATCTTGATTTTTGTTTCTACCTGCTGCAGATGCTGCTAGGATCTAATGTGACTATAGCTGTGCAGGACCCATCTTTTCCGGTAAGCTTACGAGGCCTTTGTTAACTGTTCATACAATGTGTGGGCATCATACTATGGCAAGTAGGCAAGGATATATAATCATTTGTTTCTTTATATCTATGGTAAAATGCATTTGATCTACTCAAAATGTTCGAATTTGAAATGTGTTGTTTCTATAATTAATGAAACATGTAACTGTGACAGGCATATATAGACACAAGTGTCATAATTGGTCAAGCCGGAAAGTTCATGGAGGAAAGTGGAAAGTATGAACACATTGTGTACATGAACTGTAGGCCAGAAAATAATTTCTTTCCTGACTTATCGAACACACCGAGGACAGACATTATTTTCTTCTGCTCACCAAACAATCCAACTGGTAATGCTGCTTCATACCAGCAATTGCAGCAACTAGTGGAGTTTGCAATGAAAAACGGATCAATTCTCGTTTATGATTCTGCTTATGCTGCTTATATCACAGATGGAAGTCCGAAATCAATCTTCGAAATTCCTGGTGCAAGAGAGGTATATATAGCTAACAAAGAAGAGGCAAAACCTTTCTTTTTAGAAAAATTGTTCAGGTTTTGTGACCGACTGATGTTGCCATTATTGTTTTTATCTGTTATTGACTAAGAGTTTGTTTTTGTTAAACACTATTTATTGAAGTTGTAAATATATATATATATAAAATGTGACATGATTAAATTCGTTCAGGTTGCAATTGAAATTTCATCTTTCTCCAAATTTGCTGGGTTCACAGGCGTCCGTCTGGGTTGGACTGTGGTCCCTGAACAGCTATCGTATGCTAATGGATTTCGGATCATAAAGGATTTTAATCGTGTCGTGTGCACCTGCTTCAATGGTGCATCTAATATTGCTCAAGCTGGTGGACTTGCATGCCTTTCTTCGGAGGGTTATCAGGTTATGTATCTTCTTGTAAACATGATTGAGTTTCAGATGATAAGAGATGAGTTCATGTTCAAAGAAGAAAATATTATTTAATGTTCAAATGACTCCCTTCTAATATAAGATTATTAGCATTCACCCCCCTTGGACATTTTCATAAGAATAAAAGGCAAAATAGATATTACAATATTACTTTATATTAGATCTCTTCAAAAAGTAATTTGAGGGTGTTTAGGTTTAATTTTTAAACAAGACGAAGTATAACTTTTGGAAAAATTCAGAAACAGATAAGATGTGAGATGATGAATCCAAACTCCCCAGTGCATGCTAATGAACAGTCACCAGATGGGACCGAATTTTTCAACAAAAATATGAAATGAGTCCGTGGGAGGCTCATTTTACTAACGAAAGAGTTTTTCCCGAAAATGATCATGCATGCAAACGTAACTTATTTATTAGGACATGCTACAATGATCCTCGCTGACGCATCGAGTTTTGTAAAACTTGTGCAGTCACAACAATTGTTTTATAATTTTAAATTTAAAAATTAATTTTGAACTAAGAATGTGCTTAAAGGAGCTTAATAACACACTTTTAAAATAGAGATAAAAATATTATGTGTTTTGTGTACTTTACTCTTTTCAATTTGATTGACTTGTTTTTTATCTAAATAATTGTAGAAATAAAAGTTCATTTATTTGAAGGTGATCAAATCTTCATACCTATCCAATTAAATTATTAGTTAGTTTTTCATGGGGTGAATTTTTTCATTAGCATTTTTATTTTTTTCAACTTCCAACAATATTTCCTCACTTTCAAATTATTAACCGTTCTTTGTATTCAATAAGTTTTCGTATTAAGATACGTAATGACAAAGTTGATAATTATTTTCAGGCGTTGAATGGTGTGATTAACCACTACATGGAGAATGCAAAAATAATTTTTGACTCGTTTGCATCGATTGGATTGAATGTATATGGCGGGAAAAATGCACCGTTTATATGGGTTCATTTTCCGGGTTTGAGATCTTGGGATGTATTTAATCAGCTTCTTGACAAAGCACATATACTAACTGTTCCAGGTGAAGGATTTGGTCCCGGAGGTGAAGAGTTCATTAGGGTTAGCGCATTTGGGCACAGAGAGAGTATTTTAGAAGCTTCTAGGAGGCTAAAAATGCTTTTTAAATAAAATTGGTTCAAATTTCTTTTTCTTATGCAGCAGCGTTTTGGGTAAAGTGATTAACCATCCTTTGTTTCAAAATGGCATGGTAACTTCTTCTTTTTATTATTATTATTATTATTATTATTTTTAGTTGATATGCGCACACATGTCTCTACTAAGTACTAAGACTTCTTGGCTTTCCTTTAAAAATTAATAGACTGATACCGCTAGGCCATTGGCCATTAATTGGTAACCATGAGATTTACTATTGGCCTATTTGTCAACTGGTATAAGATTGACTTTGAAAAATTTTTAAAGGAGAAAAATATAGTTCAGGAGTCAAAAATTATCCTCATGGGTAAGCATCTCAATTTTAGATTTCTAATGATACGCTCATGAGGAGTTTTAGACTATGAAATAGTTTCATCTTCTTCCATCATAATATTATTAAGCTTAAAGACAAGCATATCAAATTTAGATTTCTTTATAGCATCGGTACACTCATGGGTAACAGGAAGAACATCCAAAGCTTCTTTTTCAATTTTACAATGAGTGATCCTAGTGAACTCAGTATGAACACCAAATTTAAATACAATATGTAAAGCTTTGCTATTTTCACTAGCAACACTAGTTTCAGTAACTGTCCATAGAGATTCATCCTCTTCTGTGACTAACCCTTCCGTAGAAGTAGTGGTTGGATGTTTCAATCCCCTTTCAATAGCAACCCCAATATTCTTCCACTGAGACATTAAGAAGTCTCTCATGTTATATTTCCAGAAATGAATAATTATCGCCTTCAAATAAAGGAGTTCATTAAATAAATCTACATTTTCTAATGGTATTGTCCCTAATAATTTTTTAAAACAAAACATATTTTGATTTAAAAAATACCCCACTAGAAATAACTCGTAATTTAGAGAACCCACTCCGATACCTAGTGTGAGTTTCACAAGGCGGAATAGTTGTGGAAAACAAGTATGGAAAATTCTTAGGGGCGTGAATAGGTTCGACTTGCACTTTTATCTAATTTTTGTCTAATATATACATTTTACTGAAATAAAACTAATTATCAACCTATAACGCAAAAATAAAGTGCAAATAATAAGATGTGAGGGTTAGAGTTTGACATCGGTACTTTAACGAGGAAACCCTAATTGGAGAAATTCACCCAATTGAGAGAAAAACATTGGAGACTTTCACTCAGTCTCAAGCGAAATGATCCACTATCTTCAAAGCAAATTACTAATTGTTGAACGCCTCTAACTTTGTTACACCTCGTCCAAATGTTTTAGACTTCAGGCTTAGTCCCTTAATTATTGTAGAAGGATTACTGGTAGAACAAGAACACTCCATGAATGCTCTGTCCTTTTCGCAGCTCGATCAATTTCTGATTTCCTTCAAAATTGAATTGATAAAGATAAAAGAACAACTCTGCTTTTCTAAACGATAGCAATGGATCTTCAATACTTCGAACTCCGATTAGATAGTGAATAATATCATAATTCACTCATGTATATAGTATGTGCTCTCAGATTGAAAAAACAAAAAACAAACACACTAAAACATTCTCAAAAAAAGGCTCCCTCTAAATTGCAGAAAATTAATTTCAAAAGCCGTAAACACCATAGGTGAGAAAGAGTGTTTATATAGATTTTGTAGACATCTAAAATAACGTGTAAAACAAGTCTAATTCCTGTAAAATTGTCCTACGAAAATCTAATAGAAAAGGAACCTAAGTTATGGTAGAATTGAATATTTCAAATTAATTCTAGGAAAGTTGGACCAGTCTACTGAAATTGGACCAGTCCATTTTTTGGCAATATCAAAAACTTAAGTTTAAGGGCAAGTTGGACCGGTCCACATTTGGCAGTCAAGAAAATTTTCTTTGACCTAAAACTACCAAAAATGAACATGTACATGTGTCCTCACAGCCATACCTCTTTGAACCGGACTAAGCCGATACTCTTCCCAATATTGCTATTCCGCTTTCAAAACGGAGACTTGAGAATAAATCATAATATTATAATTTGACCGGACTAGTTTTGATCCAAGTCACATTAAGCGGATGTGAATGCAAGAGTGAAAGTATAAAAGTGACAAAAATTTAAGTCAAATGATAAATATAATCAAAAGTAGTCTGTGAAAGTGACTTATCTTTAATTAACAATCAGTTAAAGTATTAATTTTGTAAACTTACCTTTTTGTTTTTATTTGTTAGAGGACTAGCAATTGCTTGTTTGGGAGGTAATTTGATAAGTGCACAAAACTTGTTATTTTATACTTAATTATAAATGTTTAATTAATCTTTACTATTAAATAAATGTTCTTATCCCTACTTTTCATGCTTTTAGGAGTTGATTTTGGAATGGGAAGAAAAGAGGTAAAAATGGCAAAAATGTGAGAAATTATGGCTGTACAAGGATAACAGAGTATTTATTGTTGAAGAAGAATACCAAAAACCTTGTAGGAGATATGGTCTAGTGAATCACTAACTTTGAAAGAGGTTTCGAGTTCAAGACTTTGTTATAACATAATTGTTTTATTTTTATACAAGGTCAATCAAATTCAAATTTGGCTCCAACAAATCAACAAATACCATTTCAAATTGAAAAATAAGAAGATTTTATGTATTTTTTATTTTTGATTTTAATTTTTAAATTTTTTTCTTTTTTCCTCCTAATTCCTCCCTTCTGAACTCTATAAATATAATCATATGTAGAGGGAGGTAGGGGGATAGAAAATAGAGAGAGAGTTAGAGATTTTATATTGTATTGCATTCTTTTTCCTTGTAATTCTTTCTTTTGTTAATGAAAATTATCTTTATTTCTATGTTTTATTTTATTGTTAATAGGTTAGCTTAAACACGTCATCTCGAGGGAAAGTTGAAGCCACCATGGCTGACATGTCATTGAATTTCTTTCATGTTTTAATTTTCCTCTTTAGAACATGTCTTTTATTTTTCTATTCTGTGTTATTAGATTGATAAAGAAAAATTAGATGGAGGATTTTTCGTGTTTGCCAATTAATGGTAATTCGGAGAATGCTTATTTCTATTTACTAAAGATATATTAGATTAAATAAATAAATAAAAATGTTCTCTTTTATATAAATAAATGTTATTTAACTCTAAATTTTCCTTCATCTCTCCAAATTCGAATTGGATTGATGAAGTGCATTGCTTATAATAGAAAATTTGACGAGAACAAAAGAAATTTGTTTATATAGATCCGTGGTGGTGGATTCTCATCCCTCTAATATTTTTTTCATTATTTGATAAAAATAAAAAATAAAAAATAAAAAAATTTGTTTCATCTTATTTTTATTTGTTTGATTTAATTTCATTATTCAAAAGTTCAAGAAATTGTTTCAAAATAATTTTTTTTTATCCCATAAATTTTGGTTTTGACTTAACTAACTATTTTTATAAATTATTTATAAGTTTTTATTATTTTTACACTAAGCATAGAAAAACAACAATATATTTCAGAAATCTATATTCGTCACAAGCCACAACGAATATTACTTTCTATCGTCCCAATTTGCTTTTCTCTCTCTAGACTCCAATACGAAACAAAGAAAAAAAGGGGAACATCTCAGGCTACAACCATCTGAAGCAGTTACCTCCCTGGACTCCAATTACATCCATGACTACTTCTTATGATTGATGGATTTCATTCTCAACTATTGTCATTTGAGTGATAATGAAATACGACTTTGTTGCGATCTTTTTGTTCTTTTATTTCTTATCCATTAAGAAACTCTTAAATTGTGATCATGGTGGTCTTTAACTACCAATCATCTAATTGGCATTGGGAATTTTCTGATTATGGGCAAGTTAATCTCTGTATGTGCACAATTTTGTTTGATTAGAGTTTTTCCAACAATCTAAACATACTTTTTTTTCAAAGAAACATACAATTTAATTACTTACTAAAAAACATAAAATTAACTCCACCACCAGTCACCACCACAACTATAATCCTATGGCTAGCTCAACCCCTCCCCTACAACCAACCAATCAACTGTCCTGCCCCAATATTTTTCTTCCGTCCTCTGATAAGCAATCTCCAGCCAACCTTCTTACTATTCATGAAGCAACTGAGGAAGGGGATTGGGATGTAGCTGCTGAGGAAGCTAAAGCCTTAGCTTAGGCAAAACAGATGCTTGATGAAGCCCCTGCTAGATCTCTAGCAAATGCCAGACGTGAACTTGCCTATGCCAGAGAGAAAATTGTTGATTTAGAGAGAGCTCTAAACCACAGGGATGAAGTGCATAGAGGGAAGCAAACACTAATAGTAGAGGAAGGCCCTGCTGAACCTATAGCCACTCCTATGTACTCAAGTGAGGAAAGGAGTAACGTTCCAAGCTTTCCTACATCAAGCAGAGGAAGAGGGAGAGGGTCCAGTGGTAGGGGAAGAGGTGGAGGAAGGAAGACCACCATTATCTCCTAACACCAGCACCAGAGGAGCATCCACGAGCCACCTTTGGAGGTAGGGAATGCAACAGGTCTGCAGTTAAACCCTGTATCTGACACTTCTGTCCAACCCATTCCAACACACAATGACTTTCCTTTCTTACACCAAAATAGAAATTCTAGGCTTCCACAAAGTCTTGACAATGCTCAGCAACCCTCTATTGACTATGTTGAACCTCGAGACACACATTTTAGCTGGTCAAAAGTTGCTGCCACTGGTCATGAAACAGGAACTAACAAGTGCAGGATGAACCTAGAATTTCTCCCACCCAATGCAAAGTCTATATCCTCCATTGTGGTTGATCTCCCTGCAAGTCTAGCTGAGGAAGGGAAGCAAGAATGGAAGGCCAGTATTGTAGGGTACTTTCTATAGAAGAAGCTGCCATACACTATTGTTAACAAATAAGCTCGAAAATTGTGGGGTTCAATGGGTTTTGACGAATTACTTGGGGATGACAATGGCTTTTTCATATTCAAGTTTTCCAGTGAGGATGATTGTAACAATATCCTTGTAAATGGGCCATGGATGATGATGGGAAGACCAATCATTCTC